ACCTACTAGCGATGGCCGCCAACCTAAGAGCGATGGCCTCCAACCTAAGAGCAATCACCTCCAACCGCCTCCAACCTAAGAGCGATGGCCTCGAACATCGCTATTAGGTTGGAGGCCATCGCTAGCAGGTTGGAGGCCATCGGTTGGAGGTACTTGTGTTGAGGATGGGTTGCGAATCCTCAGGAGTCCGTTGAGATCATGTCGGACAAGCCTTTGGAGTACCAGGCGATGTTGCTGCATTGTGTCAGTCCTTTGTACAGATAACAAAGTAAGATAGGCAAGCATGGAAGAACAAGACGGGACAGCAAGTAAGGCACCTTTAAATGGGCCCATGCCTTTTTCCTTTTTCTCGAAACATTTCGGCGCCAAGAATGCTACCTTGCTTCTCTTGGTCTTGGACGTACCTCTCAGTAACCAGAACGCTTTCCAGAACTTTGAGGATGGGTGGATCCACTTGCCCGATGCCCCCGTGGAGATGGTGCGTGCCTCAAGTCATGGTCTTTGTGATGATTTCAATGTCCGGCGCATGACTTTGGATGGGGGAGGACATGGTGGATCTACATGAAAGAAAATACAAGAAAGAAAGGTCAAAAAGTCCAAAGACAAGAAAAGAAAGATGGACAAAGGATAGGCCAAATGGAAGAAAGAAAGAATCGTCTAAAGGGAGAGAAACATGGGAAAGAAAAAGGAGACAAAAGAAGAGATTCAACAAATTGTGTCGTTCTTTTTGTTTAGCGTTACTATAAATTATGTTGGAGGCCATTCCTATGAGGTTGGCTTCGGTGCTTCGATGCTTCGATCCACACCGAACAGGCAGAACATCAACTTGGGGATCGCCTCGCTGGGCGTGTGGACGTTCCTGATCATCCCGTGCCTTGGATGATGTGGCTCTCAAGACGTGGGCATCCATGTCTTTTACGTAACATTGGAATCGCTGGATTGTCACATCTGATCATATTGGTAGATTGGAATATTTACATATTGGTAGTCATATTCGGCCAGTGAAGAGTCATTTGTTTGTCCTGATGGCTCGAGGTGACAAATGTGCTGAAGGCCCTTCCCTTCTGCAGAGGCAAGCTAACTCGTAGCACTTATGTTGCACCAAAGTTGTTTTTCAGAATTGTGGGCAGCGAATGAAAGCGAGGTCAAGAACTCCCTGATTGGATCCCTGGCAGCGTTTGTGAGCTCCACACTGGCAAGGCCGACCCTACTAGCGATGGCCTCCACTCTACTAGCGGGCAAGGATGCTTCTGAATTTTTGCCTCTGCGTACGCCTTTGCTGCTCGACGTTGCAGGTGGGAGGCGTATTGAAAGGTGGTCGCTTCCTTCTGCAGCGTCCATCTGGTGCGGTGCCAGCCACACTGATACATTTGAGACCACCAAAAGAAGCAAGTGAGTGGAAGAACATTCCAAGTATGAACAAACATGAAGAGAAGAAGGACTTGGATCGAGAAATTCTGGTTGGCAGGAGCGGTTGATGTTGGAGTCCTCGATGTTGTTGACAAGAAAGGCGTGGATTTCCCCGGTGGGATTGGGTTCCATTTCTGAAGCATCCTAGAAGGACAGACGACGCAACACCGCAATTGCAGCTGCCCTTGGCCGGCCACCAAGTGTGTTTTGGTTCTCTCATTTCTCTATTTGCACACCGGACATAATAATTCAATATACAATACCATCATGATCTCATGCATGTATATATCATATATATTAATATATTACCATATAAATATTTATCGATGCATTGTGATTTTGTCCATCTATCTTTACATCCTCTCTGTATACAGGTGCATGTTTTTTTAAGTCTTCCTTTCATGCAAGCACTGATTTTATGGACGGGATCGTGCACTTGCGAGGCCTTGTCTTTGCGACGGTCGTGGGGGCCTCCATTCATTTGCGGGAGGCCATTTTCCAGAGTGCATCGCTACTAGTAACAAGGTGCATCGCTACTAGTAACAAGGGCGGTACTAGTAGCTCCTGGCATTACTACTAGTAACAAGAAGCTACTAGTAACAAGGTGCATGTGTCTCTTCACGTGTGCTATCGGTCCATTTGTGGCCAGTGGCTGCGCGGGCAGACCCAGTTGGGCCGAAAGACATGGCCCGAGACTTGGTGAATTTTCGTTTGCACCTGGTCCGTTTTGACCGAAGATGGTAGAGGAAGTTGAACACTTGGATGCCATCCAGTGGTTGAATAGCTAATAGTTTGAAGGCCATCCCTGTGAGGTTGGAGGCCATTACTGCTAGTAACAAGAAGCTACTGTAGTAGGTTGGTTTATATAACACACCTAAGGCCACAACTTCTGGTTTGGCTCCTTTATGCTCCGGATCGCGCCTCAAAGGAGCTGCAGAAGTTTGTCCATTTCTCCGGATCGCTTTATCATCTAATGCTCGAGCAGTTGTGTTGCTCTGTGTCATTTCTGATCTAAAGATGAACTCAGGTGCTCGTCACACCAGCCGGGATCCTTGGAGCTACTAGTATGAGAGAACCAAGAGGTTTGAAGGGCTTGTGGCTGCAACATGGTTGGAATCTTCTTTTGACTGGAGTTGTGCAGAAGGATATCGTGCTAATCGCCTCTTGGTTAAGTTCTAGATTTGTTCCAGGCAGTATACAACTTGGGTTCAGTGCATCATAGCATGGAACTGAAGCCTAAAGTATGGCAGATCGAGGAAGGAATGTGAACCTCTTTTTGGTGCATTCTTCCATTGGAGGCCATCGCTCTTAGGTTGGAGGCCATGTCTTTATGTAGGCTTTGTCCTGTAGGTTTGAGAAAGGACTGGGCACCTTGTGAGGCTACGGCCTTGCCCCTGCTACGGTCTTGCCAACTCACCCGGCAGCACTTTCTGTGCCTTGGATGGCGAAACAACAATTTGCACGTTGGATCGCAACAGACGTTTAAGGCCGTTGAAAGGGCAAGATGAAGAGGTTCTGACTCAAATAGGTAACTTCCAAGTAGCGGGTAGCTGTCCGAAACATGACTACTCGCAAAGGCTTCCTTGCAGTGTGTCATTGTCACCCGAGGTGTAGTTGCTGCGATCAACTTGCTTTTCTACTCTGACTTCTTTAGCGAGTAGGAAAAACAGACCGTGAGGCTTGTTGTGGCGCTTGAAGCAAAGCAGGATTTTGAGTGCAGTGCTATTGAAGCATCAAATGAAAGAAGCTTGATATTAATTTACTTTGGCTGCGCTTTGGCTGCTTTTTCCACTGTGCTCACACTTTGTGCTTTAGGCTCGGTGAAAGAAAACTAGTCAGACTTGGACGCCTCTCGGGGCGCCACGCGAAGGGGCCCATTTTACAGAATCTTACCGTGTTGGAAGCTTGCAATGTACCGGATACTCGCACTGGCTTTGGCGCTCTCGGCTGCCGGGCTGGACACCTTAAGCATTTCGCCACGCGAAGGACGCTTGACTACTACGACGCTTGGCAATGGCCTCCAACCTAATTGCGGTGGCCTCCCCCTAATAGCGATGGCCTCCAGCATTATACGTAGAAATGACCTCCAACCTAATAGCAATGGCCTCCAACCTAATAGTGATGGTCTCCAACCTACTAGCAATGGCCTTCCCCTGAAGGGAACTTAATCCTGAGACAAGAAAAGACATGTCCCCTTTTCTATGTTTTTGCTCAGATGCTTAGGCCTCATCATGTGCAAATTTGGCCTCCTCGGTGCCTTTTGCTCACAGCCAAGGTTGAAGGAATCTGCGCAATCCTCTCCACTCCCAGACTTGAATGAGCCTCTTTGCTCCCCAGCAGCAAACAAGGCAGGAGCATGTGAGGATGAACATTTGTTCAACACCTCAACACGATTCAGCTTCCATGTAGAGCGTTGAAATGCTGTCAGGAGCCAACATGGGGCTGCACAGCATCTTGGCAGACGTGGAACTGGTGTCTAGTTGGAGAGGTTCAACAAAGATCCAATCTCACGAAGAAAGAAGTTGGCCCAAGAGCCCAGCGAGTACGTGAAAGGTGCTATTCAATTTGCCATTTATATTCTTGCACGTTTTCTTAACATCATTTTGTGAACATTTTTCGATCTTTTTTGAAGAAACAGCCGGGGCCTTGGTCTCCACTTGAACATCTGGTTTCTGGTCTTGGCTCTACCTTGTGAGCTAGGAAGTACTAGTAACAAGTGCCACGCTAGTAGTAACAGGTGCCTTACTACTAGTAACAAAGAAGCTACTAGAAACAAGTTCCTTACTACTAGTAACAAGAAGAATTTAATTAGAATTGTAGATTCCTAGGAAGTCTTGCTCGACCTTGTGAGCTTCACTGGCACCGATGGAGCTGCCTTCACCGCAGCCGTGGTGCTCTTTTCCACTCGCTCCATGATCAGGTGCCGACGGTCACGAGAGGTCACGAGATGTCACGAGGTGACGAGCCAAATGGTGATAGTAATGGCCTCCACCCTACTAGCGATGGCCTCCAACCTAGTAGCGATTGCTAGTTGGTTTGAGATCAACTGCAAAGGGTGCAAGTGTTGGTTTCGTTGGAGATCCCGGATTCTTTTTTCGTTTGACAATACTAGTGACAATACTATGTCAAGTTCGATGAGTCTTCAATAGTAGCAGAGTGCTATAGCATGCTGGTCCCACAGAACAGGTTCCGGCAAACAGACGGGAGATATCAGATGACAGAGATCATTCTAGTGCAGGCTCCTATATGGAATGAAAGCTGGCCAGAGAACAGTCTGAGGCAGAGAATTCGTTGAACCACCCGGCCACTGTTAGTCTTGTCGTTTTTCCCCTTGGTTCAAGGTTGCTTTTGAGGCCGGCAGTGCCAATGTGCTCTTTGCATCTCTGTGCCTGCTTTTCATCTTTCGATCACTCGAGGGAATGCAGCAAATTGCCTTTGCATCGAATGAATGCATGATGAGGCGTCATGTTTTTCACCTCCCCTCCTTTGCTCATTTGCTCCGTTCGCCGTTTGGGCGGGTGCTCAAGCTCGGAACCAGTCGAGTTCCCGAGAGCACCCAACATTTGTGGTGCTTAGCAATTGGGCCAATCACATCTCACAACCTTCCAGCTTCACCCTGCGACTTGGTGACTTGCAAAACATCCAATTGGCATCTAATAGCAATTGCCTCCAACCTAGTAGCGATGGCCTCCAACCTAGAAGCGAT